TGAAACTGACCTAATTTTTCAAATATAAAACAAAAAGAACGTTCACTGACCTCCATCCCTGTGGCGCTACAGCCCATGTAGGGCTTTGGCCTGCCTCACCACTTCCTTCCACCCAGACCATCCATCCATCCCTGTGGCACTACAGCCCATGTAGGGCTTTGGCCTGCCTCACCATTTTTTTCTACCCAGACCATCCATCCCTGTGGCGCTACAGCTCAAGTAGAGCTTTGGCCTGCCTCACCACTTCCTTCCACTCAGACCTAACTAATGCCTTCCTTTTCCATGCTTGAAATTGCAACTGCTGTATATCATTTTCCACATATCTATCCACCTAAGCCTCGGTCTGCCTTTGAGCCTTTTTCCTCTGGGGTATTGGTGATGCACCCTCTTCGTTCCTCTGTCATTTGGCATTCTCTCTAGATGTCCTGCACAGCGTAGCCTGCCTCTTTTTATTTCTGGCACTATCTTGGGATCCTGATATAGACTGTATAATTCATGGTTGGTTCGTATTCTCCATCCATATTCATCCTTTGTTGGCACATATATTTTCCTGAGAACTTTCCTCTCCCATGTGTTTAATAGGTTTTCTGCTGTTCTTGTTAGGGTCCAAGTTTCACTTGCATATGTTACAACTGGTCTGATCACAGTTTTATAAATAGTTTTCTTTGTTTCTCTTGTAACGTTTTTAATTTCGAGTATTTTTTTTCTACTGAAGTATGCCCTGTTTCCTGCTGATATTCTTTCTTTTATTTCTGTTAATAAATCGTTTCTTTCATTTAACAAGGATCCTAGGTATTTGAATTGATTTACTTTTTCAAAAGTCTGGTTTCTAATTTTAATTGTTTCATCTGTTTGTTCATCTCTTATCATGGTCATGCATTTTGTTGTTTTTTGGTTGTTAACTTCCAGCCCTGCTTGTAGAGATGCGTCTTCTAATTCAATAAAGGATTTTGATATGTCTTTAATACTTTTCCATAGAAGTGCTATGTCATCAGCGTATGCAAGATACTGAAGCGGTTGGTTGTAGAGGTTGCCCGTTGGATGTGGGTTTTCAGTTTCCCTCAGAAAGTATCCGGTTATCGTTCCTCGAGTGTCAATATAAAGGTTTCTAATGGCTCTCTCTAATGTTAGGTTAAAGCGCATACAAGACAATGAGTCCCCCTATCAAAGGCCTCGTCTTATATGAAATTCCCTTGAATATTCTCCTTGAATCTTGATTTTGCTTTTTGAGTTGTTTAGTGTTACATGTATAACTCATGTCAGTTTGTTGGATATCCCAAACTCCTGCAGAGTCTCATATAAATAGTTAATTTAATGCTGTCAAAGGCCATTTGATAGTCCACATAGACTTCATGTACTGGTATATTATATTCATAGCATTTCTCTAATAGGCATCTGATGATGAAAATCTGATCAGTCGTTGATCTGTTAGGACTGAATCCACATTGGTAATCACCTAGTATTTCTTCAGTGTAAGGTTGTAGCCTTTTGGCAATAAGCTTCGTCAGCATTTTGTATGTAACATTTAATAAGGAGATTCCTCTGTAGTTTGTGCACTGAAGTTTGGAGCATTTCTTGTGTATTGGGGCTATTAATGCTGTTTGTAACTCTGTCGGGATTTTCTCTTCTTGCCAAATTTTAGTTATAAGTTTATGTATCTGAGTGTGTAGTTCTTTTCCTCCATATTTCATCAGTTCTGCTGTGATAAGGTCTTGTCCGGGGGCTTTTTGATTTTTCATATAATTAATTACCGCTTTGGTTTCTTCTAGGGTTGGGCATTGTATAAAAGGGTCTGGTCTTCCCTGTGGGAAAGGGGGGGGGGGGGGATAATCTTCTTCTTGTCTTTTTTTTGCATTCGGTTTGTCCTCAAACTATTCAACCCACCTTTCCAGTCCTTTACTTTTTTCCGTGATTAATTCTCCATTGTGGCTCTCACACATTTGCTGTCTGGTTTGGTATCCATTCTTTTCATCTTTTATCTTCTTATATTTCCCTCTTTTGATAAATCTTCTATTTCCTTTAGTTTAACTTTTTCCCATTCCCTTTTTTTCGTCCAACACATTTTTGTTGCTTTCCCTCTGGCTTCCTTGTATGTTTGTGCTGTCTTTCTGGTGTCCCTTTGTAACATGATCATTCGTGCTTTGTTTCTTTCTTCCATAGTCTCTCTGCATTCATTGTCGAACCAGCCTACTCCATTGTTGGCTTGCTGAAATCCCACTACTTTTTCTGCTGATCTTTTAATGGCATTTTTTATCCCATCCCTCTGATCATTTATGTTATTTTCCCCGTTTACTTCCTCCTGAGATGCTTCTAATTGTGCATCTACTTCATTGTGGTTAGCTTTTGCAGTAAATGGGTCTTAGGGAGCTTTTGGTGATCGTATCGTTTCTCTCTTTTATTACGACCATTGTGAATAAAGCTTATTCTCTGTCTATATTTCACCCTTACAAGTAGATGGTCCGAGTCCGCATCTGCTCCTCTAAGGCTTCTTACATCTAATATATCTGATCCATGTCTCCGATCTATTAAAACGTGATCGATTTGATTGCGCGGGATTCCATCTGGTGAGTTCCACGTAGCTTTATGTCTATTTTTGTGCTGAAACTTGGTGCTGCTGACTGACATCCCTTTTCCTACCGCAAAGTCTATGAGTCGGATCCCATTGTCATTGGATTCGTCATGCCGAATTTCTTGCCAATATTTGGCTTGAACACCTTTTCTTTTTTTATTTTGGTATTGAAGTCTCCAATCACTATTTTAATATCATGGTTCGCTGACCTACTTATCATATATAAAACAAATGTACGGTAACTGACCTACTTACCATATATTGAACAAAAAGAACGTTCACTGACCTACTACCATATATTAAACAAAAAGAACTGTCACTGACCTACTTACCAATATTAAATTAAATTAAAGTCACTGACCTACTTACCATACATAAAACAAAAAGAACGTGGCGGGTGCTGTGATGACGAGCCCCGCCCACCTCCAGTCACGAAGACCATAGAATGAGACGGCCAGCAATATTTCGCCAGTAGTGAAGAACACCTGAATGACCAGGCCTGGGACTTTCCTATCTTTAGGCTGGACAAGTTCGAGACCTGCCATGTATACAAATTTAACAAACTTCTAAAAATAAAAATAGATTAAACATTGTTTGGTCGGTGTTTTCACCAAACATAATGATAATTCAACTTTAATTATTTAAAGAAATTAATTGGTTAACTCAGGCCTGCACACCTCAAAATGTAATACAAGTTTATGAAAAACTTCTGGTACGATACTATCACAAATATTCAATTTAAACGATACTATCATAAATATTTCAGTTAAACGATACTATCACAAATATTTAAGTTTTACGATACTTCAGTATCATTAGGATGTACAACTTTATTTCCACCATAAAATGTTCACACATGCACTTAATAGAGTTATGCATTGTCTGTATATCTAAGTAATAAATTACCCACATATTACAAAGTTGTATCTATTAAGTAATACATTACCCAAAAACATTAAACCATTATCTATTAATTACATTACCAATAAACATTACAAACTTTTATCTATTAAGCACTAAATTACCCACACATTACAATGCTTTATCTCTAAAGTACTAAATTGCCGCACATACAAAGCTTTATCTATTCAGTACTAAATTACCCACACATTACAAAGGCTTATCTCTTAAATTCTAAATGACCCACACATTACAAAGGCTTATCTCTATTAAGTACTAAGTCACCCACACATGACAAAGGCTTATCTCTATTCAGTACTAAGTCACCCACACATGACAAAGGCTTATCTCTATTAAGTACTAAGTCACCCACACATGACAAAGGCTTATCTCTATTAAGTACTAAATGACCCACACATGACAAAGGCTTATCTCTATTAAGTACTAAGTCACCCACACATGAAAAAGGCTTATCTCTATTAAGTACTAAGTCACCCACACATGACAAAGGCTTATCGCTATTAAGTACTAAGTCACCCACACATGACAAAGGCGCTAGCAAACATCCCTGTGGACGCGGCACCAACCACAAACTCCAGGACGCCGAGAGTCACAAAGTTGTTGGACCACGGCAAGGCCAACCCAGATGCCAAAAACAGGATCACTGACAGGAGGAAACAAACCTTTCTGCCGAATCTGGAAAACATAATTGTGTTTTTGTATATCACGTGTATGAAATTCAGCTCTGAATGTGTGTGCAAAATTCACATAACTGTTATAAATCTGTTTATGTGTGCCTGATTCAAATAATAGTGATAAATGATGTTTCAAACTCTTAACTGGTTGTCAGCCCTTGAATTTGTTGGCTCAGATGTTAAGAGATGACACAATCCGGGTGTCCATCCAATAAGTTACTACCGGTATTGCATGAGACACATACTCATGATATCCAGTCAATGAAATACTCCTGCTATCCAGTCAGTCACATGCCCGCGGTATCCAGTGGATCAAATACTTCTGGTATCTATTTGAAGCAGATACTTCTGTTATCTAGTCAATCACATTCTCCTGGCATCAAGTCAATCATTATACTACTGGTATCCAGTCCATCACATACACCTTGTATCCAGTAATATCATTAGTAAAATGAAATAACTTGATCTGTTTCTTAAAGAACAATTCATGAATATGCATAAGATTTCCATTAATACGTTGAAATATATTTTTCTTTTTTACATCCTAACAAAAATGTGAATGGTGAAACACGGCCACTGTTATACTGTGTCCAGTCTTGGTGTCACAACATCGCCGTCACAACAAAAAATTTAGGACCGTAGAGCCAATGAAACAGATGAGCCATTGCTGTACTGTATCTAGAATTGATGTCACAACATACCCATCAGAAACAGATCACAGGAACGTAGAGCCAATTAAACAGGTGATGTTACAACTTACCTATCAGAGACAAATCCCAGGACAGTAGAGCCAACGAAAGAGCCAAGGTACAACAACATGGACGCATGAGACTTGTACATTCTATTGTTGCAAACCAGATTGATCTGGAATATACAAAAGGGAATTTTAAAAAATGCATTATGGTTTAATCTCTCTTTTTTTTAAAAGTATAATTGTTGTCCTGCTTTATTTGAAATTTTTACAAAGTAAAATTAATGTATTGGGCTATAGAGAAAGAGATACAAGTGGGACAGCAAAGAGAGCGGTCAAAATGGAAGCAGAGAGTGCGGCCAGGGGGCAGCAGAGAGAGGTGCCAAGAGGGCTGCAAATAGAGCGGCAAAGTGGCATCAGAGAAAGTGGCGGGGCCAGGAGGGCAGAGAGATAGAGAGAAAGCGCGACCAGGAGTGCAGCAGAGAGAGCGGTCAGGAGGGAATCAAATAGGGATGCCAGGAGGGCAAGAGAGAGAGAGAGAGAGAGAGAGATGTCAGGAGGGCAGAGAGAGAGAGAGAGAGAGAGAGAGGAGAGGAGATCAGAGCGAGAGAAAGAGTGAGGAAGCAGAGAGAGTGGCAAGACCCCCATAAGTCCATTTTGGCAAACCTTCTGCATTTTCCAGACTAAAATATTTATTCAATCATAAATGGAACAACAACAACAAACATATGTATATCTATGAGCACCAATAATTCCCGTGAACTTTTTCGACACAATTCCTTTTCCATTGGTGGCTGAATGTTTTCTTATTTTTTTGCGAGACGAAGAATGAGATAAACCAATAGATATAAATATAAATGATACAAAACTGCAGATACTATATTTTATTGTGGGCCACTGGCTTTGGCAGATAACTTAGATAGTACATCTAAGAATGCAGTTTTATTCTGAGACACTGGCTTTGGCAGATAACTTAGATAGTACATCTAAGAATGCAGTTTTATTCTGAGACACTGGCTTTGGCAGATAACTTAGAGAGTACATCTAAGAATGCAGTTTTATTCTGAGACACTGGCTTTGGCAGATAACTTAGATAGTACATCTAAGAATGCAGTTTTATTCTGAGACACTGGCTTTGGCAGATAACTTAGATAGTACATCTAAGAATGCAGTTTTATTCTGAGACACTGGCTTTGGCAGATAACTTAGAGAGTACATCTAAGAATGCAGTTTTATTCTGAGTCACTGGCTTTGGCAGATAACTTAGAGAGTACATCTAAGAATGCAGTTTTATTCTGAGACACTGGCTTTGGCAGATAACTTAGATAGTACATCTAAGAATGCAGTTTTATTCTGAGACACATGCTTTGGCAGATAACTTAGATAGTACATCTAAGAATGCAGTTTTATTCTGAGACACTGGCATTGGCAGATAACTTAGAGAGTACATCTAAGAATGCAGTTTTATTCTGAGACACTGGCTTTGGCAGATAACTTAGATAGTACATCTAAGAATGCAGTTTTATTCTGAGACACTGGCTTTGGCAGATAACTTAGATAGTACATCTAAGAATGCAGTTTTATTCTGAGACACTGGCTTTGGCAGATAACTTAGATAGTACATCTAAGAATGCAGTTTTATTCTGAGACACTGGCTTTGGCAGATAACTTAGATAGTACATCTAAGAATGCAGTTTTATTCTGAGACACTGGCTTTGGCAGTTAACTTAGATAGTACATCTAAGAATGCATTTTTATTCTGAGACACTGGCTTTGGCAGATAACTTAGATAGTACATCTAAGAATGCAGTTTTATTCCGAGACACTGGCTTTGGCAGATAACTTAGATAGTACATCTGAGAATGCAGTTTTATTCTGAGACACTGGCTTTGGCAGATAACTTAGATAGTACATCTGAGAATGCAGTTTTATTCCGAGACACTGGCTTAGGCAGATAACTTAGATAGTACATCTAAGAATGCAGTTTTATTCTGAGACACTGGCTTTGGCAGATAACTTAGATAGTACATCTAAGAATGCAGTTTTATTCCGAGACACTGGCTTTGGCAGATAACTTAGATAGTACATCTAAGAATGCAATTTTATTCTGAGACACTGGCTTTGGCAGATAACTTAGATAGTACATCTAAGAATGCAGTTTTATTCTGAGACACTGGCTTTGGCAGATAACTTAGATAGTACATCTAAGAATGCAGTTTTATTCTGAGACACTGGCTTTGGCAGATAACTTAGATAGTACATCTAAGAATGCAGTTTTATTCTGAGACACTGGCTTTGGCAGATAACTTAGATAGTACATCTAAGAATGCAGTTTTATTCTGAGACACTGGCTTTGGCAGATAACTTAGATAGTACATCTAAGAATGCAGTTTTATTCTGAGACACTGGCTTTGGCAGATAACTTAGATAGTACATCTAAGAATGCAGTTTTATTCTGAGACACTGGCTTTGGCAGATAACTTAGATAGTACATCTAAGAATGCAGTTTTATTCTGAGACACTGGCTTTGGCAGATAACTTAGATAGTACATCTAAGAATGCAGTTTTATTCTGAGACACTGGCTTTGGCAGATAACTTAGATAGTACATCTAAGAATGCAGTTTTATTCTGAGACACTGGCTTTGGCAGATAACTTAGATAGTACATCTAAGAATGCAGTTTTATTCTGAGACACTGGCTTTGGCAGATAACTTAGATAGTACATCTAAGAATGCAGTTTTATTCTGAGACACTGGCTTTGGCAGATAACTTAGATAGTACATCTAAGAATGCAGTTTTATTCTGAGACACTGGCTTTGGCAGATAACTTAGATAGTACATCTAAGAATGCAGTTTTATTCTGAGACACTGGCTTTGGCAGATAACTTAGATAGTACATCTAAGAATGCAGTTTTATTCTGAGACACTGGCTTTGGCAGATAACTTAGATAGTACATCTGAGAATGCAGTTTTATTCTGAGACACTGGCTTTGGCCTAAATTTATAATATAAAAGCGTGATTGTGATTCAAATTTTTTAACGTAAATTCAGAACATAAAATTGACGTTTTGACTGCCTCAGGCGAAAAGTGTCATTTTGACTGCCTCAGGCGAAAAGTGTCATTTTGACTGCCTCAGGCGAAAAGTGTCATTTTGACTGCCTCAGGCGAAAAGTGTCATTTTGACTGCCTCAGACGAAAAGTGTCATTTTGACTGCCTCAGACGAAAAGTGTCATTTTGACTGCCTCAGACGAAAGTGTCATTTTGACTGCCTCAGACGAAAGTGTCATTTTGACTGCCTCAGACGAAAGTGTCATTTTGACTGCCTCAGAAGAAAAGTGTCATTTTGACTGCCTCAGACGAAAAGTGTCATTTTGACTGCCTCAGACGAAAAGTGTCATTTTGACTGCCTCAGACGAAAAGTGTCATTTTGACTGCCTCAGACGAAAAGTGTCATTTTGACTGCCTCAGACGAAAGTGTCATTTTGACTGCCTCGGACTAAAGTGTCATTTTGACTGCCTCAGTCGAGAAGTTTCGTTTTGACTGCCTCAGACGAAAAGTTTCATTTTGACTGCCTCAGAAGAAAAGTGTCGCTGTACTTTGCTCAGACAGGCCAGAACAGTTTGTTGGCAACCTTTCTTAAGCGAAAAGCCAACATTAAAAATGATATCTCCAAAGAATGGACTGGAGATCGGCAGGGAGGGACGGATTGCTTTTAAATCTCATGATCAATTTTTTTTGGTCAAAAATGGCAAAATATTATTAATAAAATACGACACTAAGAGTTTGCCACCTTTCAGAGATTTTTCAGTCTGTCAATGCTAAATATATCTAACAAAATGAATTTAATTAATTGAACGTATTTATTTAGGTTAGTGGGCCTTGTGTCCTCCCTAAATGAAATAGCAAAACGTGGTAGACTCTATGTTGAATCTTGAAACAATGGACAGGACAATAAGATCTGAACATTTCAGCATGTCCTCGCTATCCCCTGGTCTCTACATCACTCTGCTGTAGTTCAAGTAACTGCTACCTTACTTTTGTCATTTGTCTCACCCGTCAAATACGGGCGTGTAACAGCTGGGTAACATATATAATACATTAAATTGTAAAATAATTTGTTTATCATTTACTTAAATTTATTAATTTGTATCATGCATTTTTTAAGAAAAATAATTTAGATTTGAAGAGCATGTTAATTTTTCTTAAAATGTCGCCCCCCCCCCCCACCGACCCGGCGATTAAAAAATGGGGGATATTTATTTACTTTGGTATGGATGGGCATAACATTTACATTAGTGCATTAGAGAATAAGTGTTTTAATTTTATATTAAACGTGTCTAGATTTGATTATTTTGTTTTATCTCTTGAGCCCATCAGTGGGGCTGACAAGTTTAGTGCTGACGTGTTTAGTGCTGACGTGTTTAGTGCTGACGTGTTTAGTGCTGACGTGTTTAGTGCTGACGTGTTTAGTGCTGACGTGTTTAGTGCTGACGTGTTTAGTGCTGACGTGTTTAGTGCTGAAGTGTTTAGTGCTGACGTGTTTACTGCTGACGTGTTTACTGCTGACGTGTTTACTGCTAACAAGTTTAGTGCTGACGTTTTTAGTGCTGACGTGTTTAGTGCTGACGTGTTTAGTGCTGACGTGTTTACTGCTGACGTGTTTACTGCTAACATGTTTAGTGTTGACATGTTTAGTGCTGACGTGTTTAGTGCTGACGTGTTTAGTGCTGACGTGTTTAGTGCTGACATGTTTAGTGCTGACATGCTTAGTGCTGGCGTTTGTACCTGAGAAACTGCATTAAGACGAATAGTCGACTTTGCATAGACCCACCCATTGGGGCAGGCTTCTAGGAAAAGACTGCCATTGATTGGTCGATTGTCTGCGTCATAATCGAACGTGTGATTTCGGCTGCGGGGATATTGAAGCGTTTGTTTTAAGAACATATTTTAAAAATATACAATTTCTAAATTATAAAATAATAAAATATAAAAGAATGACTAAATGTCATATATCATAATTTCTATTCTTTTACAAATCAGTTAAAGGAATTTTAATCACAAATTCCGTTTTCAATATTATTGCATTCAAATGACAGCAATACCAGAAATGACAGCAGTGACAGAAATGAAAACAATGACAGAAATGAAAACAGTGACAGAAAATGACAGCAATGACAGCAGGGACAGAAATGAAAGCAGTGGCAGAAATGACAGCAGTGTCAGAAATGACAGCAAGGACAGAAATGACAACAGGGACAGAAATGACAGCAGGGACAGAAATGACAGCAGGTACAGAAATGACAGCAGTGACACCATTGAGGAAACATTTTGTTATAATATGAATTTAAAAAATGTCCAGATTTTCTGTCTTTCGTTAACACAAAACTCAAATATCGCAGGTCCCTAATTGTAATAAATAAACCCCTAAAAACAAAATATTTCGTAGAAGTACTTTTATATGATGCACTTTTCATTCTTTCATTTTTTAAATTTCATATTCAAGTGCCCCACCCGCTTTCACACCGCAGATTTATTACACCAACTATTTCAGAAAAAACTAAATGAAACGTACTTACATACAATGATGTAAATGAAATATGGAAGACAGATATTGATGACAGATATGGAAGACACATAGGAAAGATACGGAAGACAGATATAGAAGACATATATGGAAGACAGGTATGGAAGACAAATATGGAGATCGATATGGAAGACAGAATCGAAGACAGATATGGAAGGCAGATATGTAAGAAATATATGGAAGACAAATAAAACAGATATGAAGACAGATGTGGAAGACAGATAACGAGCTCGATCAAATTCGACATTTTCCTAAAATCAACTTATTAATGAAATCTTGTTTAGCCTTTGCAAAATCAAAATAGCACACAAATCAATAAGACTTACCTGTAAATTTTGCATGATTCACCTGGTGGTACGGTCTTGTTATACACGCCCTGCTGATAGTCAGACACTATGTCGTAGGTGTCATTCGGCCAACCGGGGATGGCGCACCTGGAGGGTCAAGGCAAGAGCGACATGTTATCACGCCGTAATGTGACCCGACACAGTCAAGACCACTCGAGACCCCTGGGTGTTGTAATGTTGTTTCCAACCCACACCTTGTTACCAACTTAAAAGTTTGTTCAAGAATTTTATAGAATTTTTGTTTTTTTTAAAAATTGAAACTGTTGATGCACTAATCAGGACCTGAGATTAGGCGTGGACAGTGAACATCCTGTATTAAATTGACACCGTGTTTCAATCAATTGGATGACTTACCTACGACCCGGATGAATGGAAAAAAAAAAGTCACGGAAAAAAGTCACACACTTTGATATGAAAAAATGTCACAAGAGAAAAGTTCACAGGAAACGAAACTAACATGAAATAAAGTTCCTTGAAAGAAACTAACATGAAATAAAGTCCCTTGAAAGAAACTAACATGAAATAAAGTCCATTGAAAGAAACTAACATGAAATAAAGTCCCTTGAAAGAAACTAACATGAAATAAAGTCCCTTGAAAGAAACTAACATGAAATAAAGTCCCTTGAAAGAAACTAACATGAAATAAAGTCCCTTGAAAGAAACTAACATGAAATAAAGTCCCTTGAAAGAAACTAACATGAAATAAAGTCCCTTGAAAGAAACTAACATGAAATAAAGTCCCTTGAAAGAAACTAACATGAAATAAAGTCCCTTGAAAGAAACTAACATGAAATAAAGTCCCTTGAAAGAAACTAACATGAAATAAAGTCCCTTGAAAGAAACTANTTTTTATATCATGAGAGCAGGTGGGTGGGCATCTGGTTACCTTTAAAAACAATGGGGGGGGGGGGGGCACAAGAATTTTTTTTTAAATGTTTGGATCCCACACAGCGTTGACCACATTGAGGCCATCGGTGTTTTGTCCGGACAGAGTTATCACTTAGCTACTATCACAATCACAATGCAATGACCATTGCTTTAAGTTGAGTTGGTTACTGGGTGAGGCGTGTTAGGCTTTTTTTTAAAAAAATCATCATCTCACACTCACACATGGCGAAAAACAACTAATAATCTGGCACTCCTTGCGTTAAAAGTTCATTACATCTCTGCGCAAACGCTTACTCCATTAACTGTATTTGTAATATCATTGTTTATGGGCTTCATGGAAAACTATGAGTATATCATATAGTTAAATATGTGAATTATTTAATGTATGCATTTTAAGAATAACAAACAAACATTTTTAACCACAAGTGAGATTCGAACGACGCTCACAATGATCCGTCCCTAGGCTCTATGTACAGTTTTTCAGACATCATTTACATGGACTAACAAATACAATTAAAATTGTTAAACAGTAGGCCTACAAATCATACACATATTTATTTAAAACGTTTATATTAAACTTATAATTTTTCTGTGATTTTTTCTCCTCGACTGCTTACCTGCGTCCCAGCCCATGTAGATCAAACCTGTCATGATGTTACTCACCTGTGTCCTGGCTCATACAGAACAACTCTGTCATGATGTTACTCACCTGTCACTCGGCTCATAGAGACCAACTCAGTCATGATGTTACTCACCTGTCACCCGGCTCATACAGAACAACTCTGTCATGATGTTACTCACCTGTGCCCCGGCTCATACAGAAAAAATGCACTTGACGTCAAGCGAGCCCCATGAAACATGGCTGCCGGAAACAGAAGGGCGAACATAAAGAACTGAAACTTGTGGAAACTGCCGACACTCTCAAGGGCTTCTTCCAATTCTAAGTCACGTGTTCTGGCCATGACCTATATTCTTTGCTCGAAGAGTTATCTGGGTATCTTCTGGTGCTTTGTCTGGTTAGACTAATTTCTAATAATGTGTGCAGTGATTGGTCGACTCAAAAACTGCCAATGTCACTTGGACTTTCGGCAAGGCACGAACTCTACACACCACGTTATCCAACCGGCTTCAAGGACATCAGTAGATGACTCAAGGACATCAGTAGATGACTCTGCGGAAGAAAAGTCAATGACTTTAGAGTTAAATTAAATATATACAATTAGCTAATGTTAAATCCTTGACTACATAGACGCAAACCACTTGACTCTATCCAATGCTGGCGTTACCAGGTCTCCATCACAGTACGCCTTTGAATTCCCCCACTTACTCGTCTGAGTGTGTTGATATTACCATGACCGACACAACTTTGAATGGGCGTTGTCGCCAAGGGGCCATCCGTATAGTACGCGCGCACTGAGGGGGGAAGGGTGGGTTGTCGATTTTTAGAATAGCTTTTGCGTAAGCGGGCGTGCCAGGAAAAATACGATTTTTGGCGCCTCGTGTCTTTCTGGGGTGTTTAGGATTTGAAAGTTTAATTCTGGCGCCCTTAGTGGCTGCCCCCTTTGTCCCATTCTCATGGCTCTACCCAAGGGAAGTGCCTTCTTAAGGCATGGGCCCAGTGGGCACAGGTCCAGGGCCTCGAGCTTAAAAGGAGACCCGTGTTTCTAGGACACTCACTCTTATAGAGGCATCATGCTTTACATATTATTAATGAATATTGAAAGATTTTGACAATTTAATTGAGTTTAAAATTCGCAAATTTCCCAATTTTAAATCACGATGTATGTCAACACATTCTAAAATTAATATTATATTTGGGAATCAAAGTTGCTCAATTTTAAAACTTTTATTGGGCAATAACTCTCGTCAACACGTTTTAAATATCCCAGGTATGAATCGAAAAAAAAAAATGAGGTAAGTATCAGCTTCCCAGTACAATGGGACAAAAAACGTTTCAACTGGCTTTCGCTTATGTGTATGGAAAGTGACATTCTTAAGCAGTTGACTTTTAACCAATAATAAAACAATTCTCTGCAAAAAAAAATTACGCAAACGATTATGATCATTTATATTAAATAATTTTTTTATCTATCTGTCAATAACAATAGTTCATGATCCTCTGTGATTATTTATAGTTTATTTCTGATAATGTTTTAAAAAAACAATATTGATTATGAGTGATTTTGTTTTTTGTGTCAATAAATTGAATTCATCGAAGTTTAACTTTATTGAATGTTTATATTTTTTTTTACATTTTTATTCCTCTGGGTGAGTTGGTGGGGAGCAGGAACTGTTTGCCCCACACCCCCAAACTGTTTGACCATGGGGCGATTGCCCCCCCCTTCGCACCCCTTCTCACGGCCCAGGTATTTTGTGTTACTAAGGGTCCCAGTACATTGCTGTGCCCAGCGCCTCCCATGTTGTTAAGATGGCCCTGCCCAAGGGCAGCGTGGCTCTCACTTGGTTCACTAAACAGCTGGCTGTTTGGATTCTGTGAAAGACACTATTATAAATATTTTAAAAAATTATAATAATTTTAATAAACACATTTTTGGGGGGTGGGGGAGGATGTCAAAAGTTCATCGTACTTACTTTTTGAGGGGGGGAGGTGTACAAACAATACGCTAGTGACAGGGGGGGTAGGAGGTGTACAAACAATATGCTAGTGACAGGGGAGGTAGGAGGTCGAAAATCGAAAATGTGTCTTTTCTTTTATTGCGCACATACTCAAATTTGGATGGCCCCCTCAGCGGACTGCGTGTGCCCTTTGTTGTCCTGCTGACCCCTAGGCCGACTGTGGGTGCCCTTTGTCGTCCTGCACAATGGATACCCCGAAGGCCATAGTCTTCTTCTGGGACACACACTATGTCATACTGCGTCATACCATTAAATGCCATTGTGTAACGTTGGCTTTAGGGGCTGAACCCAACGTTCTTCCCACCATGTGACAATCGCCTTCAGCTTCACAGCAGCGAGTGTTGTGCCAATACCCGCAGTCGTTTACAAAGTCGTCTTTTTGACGGCCTGCGTAGTCAATGCCAGGCTGTGTTGTGTCTGTGTATTCACTGTCTGATTGTGGGGTGTCTGTGTAGCCAATGTCTAAATGTGCTGTGTCTGTGAAGTCCATGTCTGATTTTGCTGAGCTTGTGTGGTACATGTCCGACTGTGCTTGTGTGGTCCACGTCCGACTGTGCTTGTGTGGTCCATATCCGATGATGCTGTGCCTGTATGCCATAGTCTCAATCAAACACTGTTTAATAAAAAAAACTGTATAGGAAACTACTGATGGGGGCTATGGTACCTATTATCGCTGGTGGGTAGTGGCAGAATCCCTTATGTTAAAGTAGACCTAAGCACAAGGACTCCAATATCTGAGGCACCTCAGAATTAAAGATATCGCATTTTACAGGAAATTTCTCCACAGCGAAGTGTGGGTATCTTCAGACGTTCGGTGTGTGTGTGTGGGGGGGGGGTTTGGGGCAGGGAGGACGGGGGTGCAGGGCGTCTATACCGACCACAAGATTATAATGCCCCGGGTCAGCTCTGACGTCCTCGCCCCGCCATATATAACCATAAATTCATTCGTGCAGTTGAGTCCCCTGGGGAGTATGTTTTTAGTCACATCTTAGTTTCGTCCATTAAATCTCTATAGTACAACTACGTATGCCAAACTAATGCCAAATCATAAGATTGTCCTTTAGACAACATCCCAATTGTTATCATTCAACGCTTTTTTAAAGATCCAAATATGTCGGCACTGTCGCTTTAATTTTGGAAGGGAGAAGAGATCGAAGGCGATGAAACTTAAGGCAAGGTTTGGGGTGGGGTGTAAGTAAACCCCTCCCCCAGCAATATTTTCGTACATTCAAAATGGTGGGATGCATTTTGGCGCATACATTAATTTAGTCTTGCATCAATCTATACTTAATCGACAAGCAAAAGAAAATATGGTTCTTGAAATGTAGTTTTCCTTGACGATCCATGGGTTACGCAATTCCTTTTTATTTTTAGTTGTATCTAAATAGTAATAGAGTTACATAATTTTATTTTGAAACTACTTCATCAATGTATAAATTAAAAAAAATAAATGTATGTTTCTGTTCAAAACCGTTGTTCGTCAGGATAAAAAAACAACAACAACTGAGTTTATTACTTGAATAATGAACATGTCGCATTTATTTAAAACTTAGCTACGTGTTTCC